TAACCAAAAATGCTGCATTTTATTTGTGCTGTGTGCATCTGCAAATCAGATGAAAATCAAAGCAGACAAAGCAGTGTCAGAACTGCATGCTTTAAACATGTGAAAATTGCAAATGATGAATTATCAAACACAATTGAAGCAGACCACTGATCATCAAACTTCAGATGGCTTTTTAATCAGTATAGAATGTGTCAATAATTTTAAAAAAAAGATTTAGAAATTAAAAAAATTCATTTCTTCATTTCATCTGCTTAATTTCTGATGAGATATATGAGACTGTGTAGTGATGAAGCCTCTGCATTGAGAGGAATTATAAAAGGTGACTGAGTCTTTTACAGAATTTTCAAGATATTATTTTGCAATCTGTTTTTCTCAATCAATATATATATATTTTTTCAAATTCAATTTCTGTTTTTCTTTCTGCTTCTCTGATCATTTCTGATTCAAAATCCCTCAAAATCTTTCCTTTCAAATCCTCAATCTCCAATCCTCTATTCAGATGGCTCTCGCGTTTCATGTGAACAATTTCAAATCATAAACACTGCAGCGTCCGCGGTATTTTAAATCATTTTCATTGTATATATACTTCAATTCTCATATTCTAGAGCTCAAAAGCTTCTTTGCTTTCTCTTCTCTTTCAATCTTATATTATGATGCCTCTGTCAGCATTCTGCTATTTTACAAGCATGGATTTTCTCTGAAATTACCGGCTGAAGTCTGCATACTCATCAGCAGTGATGTTCAGCTGTGTTCATTTGAATTGAATATATTGATCTGTTGTCATTCTTTTGACATTCTTTCTTAAATTGAATAGTTTGAATAGTTGTTTGATTCTGGGCTGGAATTCTGCTATTGCATGTATTAAATTGACTTTGTATATTAGCTTATTCTTAAGTTAAAAAATCCTGGAGTATTTCGGATAGATGTCATAATCACTGACTACATACATCTATAATAAATGAATAATAATAATAATGAAGAACTCTGAACTATCCTCTCATATTTTCTTCAATACTTTATGTATAATATCTCAAAATGAGGTTCTCTGTTTTGAATGAAAAGATAATAATATAGTATTACTACTGTCTACAATTCATCTATCAGACAGCTTTGTTGAACATGTCAGAAAGCACTCAGAATTGAGCTTTATTATTATTATTATTATTATTCTTCTATTATACTCGTATGCAAGCAGTGCTTATGACGAGTCCTTGTGTAATGTTAAATACAGGCAAGAGTTGGTTATACAGGAGGAATGCTTAGTGTTGGATGACGCCAAGAATATAACAGGAACATAGGAAAATTAATGAAAGGCTGTGAAAATTTCTATCATTATTGATGATTACAATCATTACATGAATGGTATTGATCTAGCAAATCAGTATAAAGCTTTCTATGAAACTCATATGCTTACTAATCAGATCTGATTGGCAATTCTGTAGTGAATTATTGACCATGCTATTGTCAATGCTTATATTCTTCATTGACTGGTTACTACTGACTCAGGCACTATTACTCTATCTCATGTGCAGTTCTGTCAACAGCTCTATCTTCAACTCTTTCAATACTCAAATCCTCTACCCACTATTTGATCAAATTCAGATTTAAATCAACATTGAATCTTCTTGCCATATACTCAAACTTATGCCTGATGTCAGTACAAAAGAAAGGTAGCAGGGGAGAATAAAGGAAGAGCTCCAAGGACATGATATGATTGTGAAGCATGTAATAATATTCCTCTTTGCTTGAAAAGAGGGTGTTGGAAGGAGTTCCATTCTCATGATATTAATTAGGGCTATTTCAAATAGATTACATAAATTACACTTAAACACGCCAATACAGCCGATCTCTCATATAATCCAGTAGTTTTCGCGTATTTAATACACTAATGTACACGCTAAAAAATACGCTAATTGTTGCCTCGCCCCCAGACGAGGGGATACCAGTACTCACCTAAATTCGAACAAACAACCAAAAATCATCCAAAAATATGACTTCTCCATTCACCACCCCTCCTCCTCAATCCTCAATATATCTCCTGTCGTACCCAACACCAGGTGTGCTTCTGGTCACCATTAACCGTGCCAGGCACATGAACGCGATCCATTACCAGGGACACTGGGATTTCCACGCGCTCTGGACATGGTTCGACGACGAACACACTTTGCAAGTCGGCATCGTGACCGGTGCCGGCGACAAGGCGTTCTGCGCCGGGCAGGATCTGCTCGAGATCGAGACCGAGAGGAATGATGAGGGCAAAATCCTGCCAGCGCAGCAGCAACCGCCCACCCTGAGAGTCCACCCTCCGTCCGGGTTTGCCGGCCTGAGCCAGCGAAAGGGGAGAAAGCCCGTAATCGCGGCCGTGAACGGGTTCGCGTTCGGGGGTGGTTTCGAGATATGTCTGAATTGGTTGGTACAATCGTTTTCGTTGGATGTTTTTTTTTTTTTTTTTTTTATAAAAAAAAACATTTTTCGCGGTTCACCGCTAGTCTATTTTTACAAATTTTTGTATATTGACTGACTGACTGACCAACTAACTAACTGCTGCTGTTGCTGCTTCTGCATCTTAGCGATTTGGTAATTGCCTCCCCGAAAGCACAATTTGCTCTACCAGAGGCAAAACGGGGCATATATGCGGCCGCAGGCGGCCTGCCTCGCATTACACATATTGCCGGGCTGCAAGTTGCGTCAGAGATCGCACTGACCGGCAGAGCCATATCTGCCGAGGAGGCTAGGGCGTGGCACCTGGTGAATCGGATTTCGAAAACGCACGAGTCGCTGATGGGAGAGGCGCTCGCGTTGGCGAGGGAGATTTCACAGCTGAGTCCGGATGCGGTGATCGTCACTCGGGCTGGGCTGAGAGAGGCGTGGGAGGTTGGCGATGTGTCGAAGGCCGTCCGCAACACGTCCGAGAGATATTCGAGGAATCTGTTCGAGGGTCAGAATTTGCGTGAAGGTAAGTTTCAATCTTTTTTTTTTTTTTTTTTTTTTTTTTTTTTTTGGGAGTTTAGTTCGAGTTTCCAGATTTAGTATTCAAGGAGAATGCCCACTACGATTACCGGGCCTTAAGCTAACGGATGGCCTTGAATTACAGGGCTTGCTGCTTTCCGAGAGAAGAGACAGCCTCGCTGGGTCATACCAAATCTATGAGCAACAACAAACCAAACCTTGTGTTCGCTCGCGTTGACAGCCTAAACCTGTTACTGGGTATTTATTTCTCTCTTTTTCTCAATTTCTCCCCATGTTATCCTGTAATATATATACATATCTTTATAACAAAGCCGCAACGATCTCGAAATGTCCCACCCTCTTTGTCAACTACTCCCTGCCCCCCCCCCCCCTCCCAAATGTTATATTGACAAACTCGGTATGTATTGCCGAGGTAATATACTAGTATTGCACTGTACACGGATAAATTACCGGCTTTCGGTAATAGCCCCTCTTTCCATCGAGCCGACGACGACAACACGAAACACGAAGCTCCCGAGTATTGAAACTCTACCGACACACCGGCAATTTACGTTTTGGATTGGTGTTTTAGCGATGGTGTTTGGCGGATCCAACCGTGCTTGATATCGATTATAATATATATATATATATATATATATATATATATATATAACTATATAGACAATAAATAATTCTACATTCTGACGCCAAAGAGTCGACTGACTCTATCGGGCTCGGCTCATAACAATGGCCCTTGTAGCCTGCCTAACGGCAGGTAAAATGTGCATGGCGCGAAGAAGTATGATACCTCTAACTCGCCTTCAACCGGCAAGACCGGCAAATAGTTGTCGCGGCCGGTGGCGGCGGCGACGTTGCGATTCGTGACATCTGTGGAAGCTGGCTGCTCCAGCGCGCCTACAAGGATGGATGAATGAAGTGCCCACTGCCCACTGCCCACTGCTCACAGCTGCTCTTGGGGATGCTAGTTGCTGTTCGGACTTTCGTTTGTCAGTGGGAGGCCCCATGAGAGTCAAGGCGAACGACTATATCAAAAGATGAGCGTGGGCAGCCGGAGAAAAACGAATCTTGGCTTTGACTGAGCAAGGCATCATTCCGTATTCGAAGGATATGGAGGATGGCGTGAAAGACGAGATTTGAGATAGGGTGTTGGAAAGGGGCTTCTGACTTGAGTACGCTGGAATCACGGCTGCAAAGTTGTAGCGCTCTCGCAGTGTTCATTTAACTGTTTTATTTGTTGATTGATAAAATTCATTGACGTCTTAAAACAGCCAGGAGGTCCGACAAAAGCTATATTTTTTTGTGTTAAAGAGATATACTGTATTATAATACAACCACTCCAGCTTCGTGATGCATCTGGTTGCCTGATCTTGCTTCAGAAGCAATTATCCTTGATTCCCATGTTTTTATGGCAGGTAGACTACTAACTAGTATTCCTGAGCCTTCGTGGAATACTTATCTAGTTAGGGTTAGGGCTAAGGGCTCAACTTTCGTTCGTTCGTTCGTCTCACCAACAACGACTCGACTTGGCTTTCCAGCTTGAATCCTCTGCAGAAGCCGAGACCAACATCCGCCATCGAACGCGGGGTTGGCAGGTCACCACTCAACTTCCCCGCACTCCCTCATTTTTAGAATGGGACTGGGCGTACAAAGGAGGGAGAGAAGGATGCGAGAATACAGCTCGTGTCTATCGTCCGAACGATATGGCAATCGCCCGGCAAAAACCATTCGACTTACCTCTCTTCTATCCGCCAGTAGTATCTAAGGATATCTGATTGCCCCGGAAACGTTGGGATATATGTTACTGAGATAGAGAATTCACCTCAGACCGTGCTTTGAAAGAAACCCGGTGGAAACTAGGCCTCCCAGCTATCCTATCGTTAGATTTGTTTGATACCAGCACATTTAGCCATGCCTACCCATACAACTAATGCGACTGCGACTAGAAGTCCCAGTGCCGCCAAACCACTGGTTCTAGGAAGCAACAATCCCGACATCGAGCATCCCGCCTCCATCAACAGGCCGATGTTCAGTGAAGACTGGGACATAACATCAAGCAGCGGGTATCGCATTTCCGACAACATGATCAACGAGCCGCCTCCAGGCAAGCAGCCATTCCGGATAATCATGATCGGAGCCGGAGCGGCGGGCATCGACTTCCTGCACCACGCCATACGCGAGTTCCAACACCCCGACGACGTCCAGTTCGTCTGCTACGAGAAGAACCATGACGTGGGAGGGACGTGGTTGGAGAATCGATATCCCGGGTGTGCGTGCGATGTGCCAAGTGCCAGTTACCAGTTTGGTTGGCGGCCCAACCCGAACTGGACGCACTATTATAGCCCCGCGCGGGAGATTTGGAAATATTTGAGGGATATTGTGGACGAGGAGGATATGATGAGGTATATCCGTTTGCGGGCCCGGGTTACTCGAGCGGAGTGGAGGGAAGAGAGGTCAAAATGGGTGGTGCGTGTGGAGGAAAGTGGGGAGGATGGGAAGGTGTCAAGAGTGTGGGATGACGAGTGTGAGGTTTTGCTGAATGGAAACGGGTTTCTCAAGTACGTTGCGGATCCTGCATGGTTTTATTAACTGTCACTTGAAACTTCATTGACTTGGAGTACAGTAACTGGAAATGGCCCGATATTCCCGGATTGATGTCCTTCGAGGGCCGGCTTTTCCACACAGCCAAATACGAGGAAGGTCTCGATTTGAAAGGAAAAAGAGTAGCGGTCATTGGATCAGGTAGTTCCGGAGTTCAAGCTGTTGCAGCAGTTTACAAGGACGCCTCTCGATTATATACATGGGTGAGAAACCCGATGTGGATCACAGCTGGATTTGCGCAAAAATTTGCTGGGCCAGATGGAGGAAACTTTCAATGTTTGTTAGCCTTAGAACATTGTTTCCATTCTTCAAAAAGTCTATTGCAACTTCTGACCAATGGCGCTTTTAGATAGCGAAGAGCAAAAGGAGGAGTGGAGGAGGGATCCTGAGAAGTATAGGGTATATCGAAAAATGATCGAGCATGAGCTAAACGTGCGATTCCGGTTTGCGCTGAGGAACAGTAAGGAATCCGACGAGGCCAATGCAGTAAGTACAGTACATGTACTGCACATTTTACTGTACATTATTATGGTCGTTTCGCCCAAGCGGTTTCTAACTTCCCCCTCCTTTCTTATATGTAGTTTTCTTACAAGGAAATGACAACCAAACTAGGGGATAACGAATATCTCAAGGAAAAAATAATACCGAAGGACTTCAACGTCGGGTGCCGACGGCCCACACCAGGAAACGGGTATCTTGAGGCCCTTGTCGGTGAAAAAACAACTTGCTATACGGATCCAATCGGGGGGATCACGCCAAAGGGGTTCCTAAAAGCCGATGGCACGGAGGTCGAAGTCGACGTTATCATCTGCGCAACTGGCTTCGACACATCGTTTCGGCCCCGATTCCCTATAATCGGGCTAGATAAGGTTGACATAGCCACGCGGTGGGAGAAGACCCCAGAGTGTTACCTCTCAGTCAGTGCTTCCAACGTACCGAATTACTTCATGTACAGTGGTCCATTCAGTCCAGTCGCACAGGGCTCCCTCTTGTCACTACAAACGCTTCTCACAAACCATTTCCTTCAAATAATCCGGAAAATGCGCCAAGAGCACATCCGGCGCCTCAGTCCGAAAGAAAGCGCCGTTAAAGACTTTTGCGAACATGCGTCTGTATATCTACGCCGTACATGTTGGGCAGATCCTTGCAGCAGCTGGTTTAAACAAGGTCGGAAAGATGGCAATATTGTGATGTGGCCAGGTAGTAGATTGGCATTTTTTGATATATTGAAGGAGCCCAAGTATGAAGACTATGAGATAGAGTATTGGAGTAAGAACCGTTGGGCTTTTCTCGGGAATGGCTTCACGACGGAAGAATTTGATGGGAGCGATATGAGCAAGTATTTGAACTGATAATTATATCCGAATTTAGTTACTCAACAGATGATTGCTTCTGAAACGATGCGCAGTTAACATGTCAAACTTTGATTGCAGAGGAGAAAAGGCTCAATGGATGTGTTGGTAACGATTGAAATTTGTAAATTTCAAGAACCTATGAGTTAGAGATCGAGTCGGTCATAATTTGAACATATGAAATTTTTTTTTTTTTTTTTTTTTTTTTTTTTTTTTAAAAAAAAAAAAAGAAAAAAAACAACAACAATAACAACAATAACAATAACAATAAAATTCAACCAAACGATCACCCTAATCAAAATGAATGAGTTGTAATTGGATCGTAATCAAGATTGTATAGTAGATTTGGATTCTCAAAGCCATACTCTTGGAACAGAGTGTCCCAGTTATTCTGTTCCATAAATTCGTCAGCTGAGTATTTTTTTAATAAATGAGGGAAACGCAAGGGTGCGAGGAGGAAAGAAAAGGATTTAAGGAATTAGGTGTCAATGTGGAGCTCAATATATCACGCACCGTGTCCAAAAGATCCGGGACTTCCGTGTAAAACTCTGGAGCGCCCACAGGCGGAGGTGTGGGCTCGGTATATGCGCTCGACGAAGAATGATCGTCGAACCCAGGTGCGTATGCAACGGAACTTGGAATGGAACTACCCGCTCCTTCACTTCCCATACCAGGGGAAAAATCTTGCGGAGGGGTGTAGGCCAATGCACCAGGCGTCTTCGATGGAGGCAAACCACCACATGGACCGCCTTTTCGTTCGGAACGGAGCTTTTGGAGTACGGCTGCAAATACTCGATGGAACTTTTGGCCTTCTGCCGTGGTATCACCGAGATTCATCCAAGTATCCCAAGCACCCTCAACCTTTTTCATCCGGTCCGCTCGATTAATACCAATCAAAACGTCATCGGCTTCGATAGACTCAGATTGCACATCTCCATCCTGTTGCAGATCCAGACAAACAATCATGATTGCAAGTCGGAAGGAAGAGTTAGCTACCGGCGCGAGGCACCATCGGCTCTGTTCTAGATGGTGGCCAGGTTTTAAAAGCCTCTGAAGACCGGTTTGAAGGTCAATGAGGGTAATTGCGGATTGAAGACATCTCTGGCGAGACAATGCAAACTTCTGATCCTTTCGTGCTGCGCTGATATATTTTCGGTGAAGAGCGCACATTCCCTCACTGTATAGAATGCCAACATGAACCCTCTGCATGGACTTGAAGAGAGATTCAGTTTCAGCAGCGTTCCAATTTGTCATTCTAAACGGTTCCGGTATGTCCCTGACAACTTGGAACAATTCCTGGTCAAGCTGAAGAACGCGGTCATATGACATTTGCTTCGTGTTGTACAAGAACTCCCCGATTCTCCCAACTGTTTGGAGAATTTGCGATTTCGTCACCATGTAAGTGATACCAGTAACCTCCGACATTGGTCTTGACGGAGGAAGTTTAGCCATACCCTCAGTCAGCTCCCAATCATGTAAATTCGATGGCGTCGCTGTGTCAGAGATGGCCGATGAAATCATGCTTGGTAACCCTATATGGAACGAGCAAACGTGATCAGCCTGACAGATGAAAGCCCAGATGCGTCGCCGCATCTCGCCTTGGAAAGGGGAGAATGCCTTCGGGTAGTGAGACGGATCACGATGGAAGCCCATGCGCATTGCCGCACGCACGATCTGACCAAGTGCCATCCAAACGCCAGACTCAATATCTTTTCGGCGCATATATTCAGCAAGGGCTTGGAAACACATTGTCTCTATGACATGCGGCTCGCTCCGTGTGATATTCGCATGCATAAGACACTGCGCTGTCCGTGTTCGAAAAAGATCAGCAAGGGATTCTCCAACGCCCATATACTGAGCTGCATCTTTTGGGCTTTCAATTTCGGACTGGACTGTCATCCACAACATAGAAAACAAAAGTCCGAGCCAAGCCACATCTGTTCTATCAGGATTCCTCCAGTGTTCCTCATACTGTAACGGGTTAGCATACATATGCTCGATTATATTTAACAAGGAATTGAGGGGTCATACTTGTTTGCGGAATGTCGGTTCGTGTATCACGACTGAAAAGGTTTTTGTTAGTAGAGGTTTCCTTGGGGTAATGAAATTTTAAAAGTAGAGAAAAACAAGGAAAATCATGTCTCTTACGTAGGGGAGGGGCAGGGTCATTGGGATCGAAAAATTTATTAACAAACTGGTCAGTAGTTTGCTTCGGCGGCAGAGAAGCTATCAGTTCTGCTTTGTCGAGTGATCTTGGATTTCCGGCCGAAATAACTGGCTCATGAGTAGAGAGGCCCTGTGCAAAAGCCTGGTCCAACTCGTCCGCTTCCATATCGAATTTGAATTGATTCCAGGTGTTTTTGAGCGCGACGATCTAGAATTTATCTCAGCCGCACTGAGAACCCAATCCTTTTCCGAAAGAATCTGAGATATGAGCATGGTCAAACACTTACTTCTTGGAGAACGTCTTGCCAATTGGTGCTCCCTCTATAGGGTGTCTTCTCCTCCATGGTTCCAAGCTCCGGAATGGAACCCTCCTGGCTCGAATCATCGTCCAAAGACGTCTTAATCACGTCGATAGGCTTGGTGCCATTCGGCAGCTGTGAAGCCAGCCCAGGTTCAGCGGTAAAGGAGGCGACTAGCTCTTCCAAGCGATGCAGGCGACACTCCATCCCCTGAGTCTGCATGGCATTGGACCTTGGGGTTTTGCCATTGGCGAATACGCATAGGTCATCATGGCCCCTTGAAACGCAGTTATGGCATGGTTGCTGCCGGTTGCACTTAAGTCTAACCTCCGATGGCTTTGTTAACAACCATGCATCAACTCATTTACATGGCCCGCTTTGCCCAGGCGGTTGGTGAATACTTACTTCCTCGCCCTGCAGGGCCCGCAAGAAAGGGGGACACGCGGATTTTTGTGGACTCTGCGGGTGGTGTTGGAAGTCTTATAGTTATCCATCTTCCGGGGTTAATGATATGAATAAAAATCTGGCTCAGTTTGCGAAGATGGTTGGCGGTCCGGATGTCCAAGAATTCGATGTCTTCTCTCCTGCTGTCTGAGAGGAAGAAGAGAGGGCTCGGCAGCGACGTCGGGGCGAGCAGGGGGTTTCTTAAGGCAAGCCGGCTCCCTCTGGCTGCTTGGAAATCACCGACGGCCCTAGCGTTGACTTCGGTTTCCAAGCACCGTCAAAAAGCGCCCTTGCAGCCACCCTTGCAGCCACCACCCCTGGTCCCATTGCTAGCACTCTTCGAGGGTCTCGCCAGCTCTCCTCCAAGAGGTTTAGGGTTTGATTTCACGATAACGAAGTCATAGAGTCAATCCATCATTTGACTAATTGATGTGCAAGGTCCATCCATTTAGCTCGAGTGGCTGACCTTGATATTTGTTGTTCATTTTCGATCGTCTTGCCTACGTTAAGGTGCAACTTTCAATGGCTTGGACTCAAATGCGATTGATTGCCACTAACGAAACTCGAGTTTCGTTCGGGAGGCCCCCATGGATCCAACACGCTAAGCGCTGAGTCGAGTTGCCGTGCCAGATGCCTTTGGATTGGGCGTTGGATTTTCTTTTTTCTGGAGACGCAGTTCAAAGAGACTCTTCTTCTCCCCGGTTAGGAAGTCAGGACGGCATGAACTGATGCAGAACCTTCTGCGTTCTCCGTACATACAGAGTGCGCATGGGCCAAATGATGGCGTTAGAGTTGAAAAAGCGGCTGGAGTCAACTTCCCTCAATCACGGACAACTGGCTTAACGGGCTTCCTTCGCTTCTGACCGCCGCAGTGAAAGATGGAAAAGATTTTCTGAACAACCACTAAGGATTTAGGGTGCATGGGCAATTCGATGCCGAATTCATTACCAGCAAACCTGCCTAGTGCATCGAAGTATGGGATCAAAGTTCGCTTTGACCGAGAATGGGGTTCAAAACGCTAAGGATTGACTTTCTCTCATGGAAGTCAACCGCCCAGCCGAACAGCCATGGCTTCCGAGAATGCGGGGCTCGGACAAAATTCCTGTAGCCAAACTTTCACTGCCAGTAACTGTTTAGACGGTGGATACAAGAAGCTACCAGCGGTCAATCTCTCAGAGAAGTTGGCAGGCATGTACAGTAGTACGTCCACATGTTGATCGCCACTGCGATGCATCGGGTTGGGAGAGTTAGTTAGCCCCAGTTCGAGACACCGGACGGGATTCCGCTGGCCGTCTGGGAAGGTCCAATCTCTGGCCGATCCATTCGAATAGAAGAGAACTACGGTGTAAACTTGAAGTTGATGGAATTGATATTGCCCTCAATCGTCAACATTTTAAGAGCTCCCCTTAACTACGATTTATGGATTACAATCTTATGCAAAACCCTGACCTAATCCTCTCTCTCACCCAAAAGGAAAAAGGGAGAAACAAGAAAAAAGAAAAAAAGAAAAAAAGAAAAAAAGAAAAAAAGAAAGAAGCTACTAAGCCAGTGTTGGGTCTTGCCGCGACTCGAACGCGGGGCCTCTCGCAAACATTTTGCATTAGGGTAAGCCCTAAGCGAGAATCATACCACTAGACCACAAGACCCGGGGTTGGGAATATCGCAGCCTAATTGGCTTTATCACGCTGGATCGTCGAGTCGCTCGCTTTGATTAGAAATCAAAAGCACCAAGAATATCATTATTACCTACAGTGTCAGGTATTAAGTTTGAAACTATTATGACACTAAGGGCAAA